TGCTTCAAGACAACTAAAGACACATGAGAAGAATTACCCGACGCATGACTTGGAGTTGGCTGCGATCGTATTTGCTCTTAAGATCTGGAGGCATCATCTTTATGGAGTAAGATTTGAAGTCTTCAGTGATCACAAAAGTTTGAAGTATCTATTTGATCAGAAGGAGTTGAACATGAGACAGAGAAGGTGGATTGAATTTCTAAAGGACTATGACTTTGATCTCCAATACCACCCTGGGAAAGCTAATGTGGTGGCTGATGCTTTGAGTAGAAAGTCCCTACATATGTCAACCATGATGGTTAGAGAGATGGAATTGATTGAAGATTTCAGGGATTTAGGCCTCGCACTGCAAGTAAAACCTAAGAGTTTGACCTTAGGTATGCTTACAGTAACAAATGAATTTCTGGAACAACTAAAAGGTTTGCAAAGTTCTGATCTAGAACTGCAAGAGAAAAGAACCTTGTTGGCTGAAGGGAGAGCCCCAGAATTTCAAGAAGGAACCGATGGAGTACTGAGATGCAAGAACCGAGTCTGTGTGCCAAGAGACCCCGATTTGAAAATGGCGATCTTGGACGAAGCCCATAAGAGCAAACTAAGTATTCACCCTGGAGCTACCAAGATGTATCAAGATTTGAAGAAGATGTTCTGGTGGTTCGGTATGAAGAAAGAAGTAGCCGAGTATGTCTCGCGCTGCTTAACATGTCAGAAGGCAAAGATTGAGCACAAGAGACCCGGAGGAGAACTTCAACCTTTGGATATTCCCGTGTGGAAATGGGATAGCATTGCAATGGATTTTGTGAGTGGATTTCCTCGAACTCCGAAAGGTTATGATGCAGTTTGGGTGATAGTGGATCGTTTGACGAAGACAGCTCACTTTCTACCAATCAATATGAAATACTCATTGGAAAGGCTAGCGGAATTGTACATCAAAGAGATTGTCCGATTGCATGGTATTCCTACAAATATCATCTCGGATAGAGACCCACGTTTCACTTCGAAATTGTGGAATGGTTTGCAAACAGCCTTGGGTACCAAACTAAGTATGAGTTCAGCTTACCACCCGCAGACGGATGGCCAATCTGAGCGGACTATCCAATCTTTGGAAGACCTGCTGAGAGCATGTGTGCTTGAACACTCTGGAGGTTGGGCGGACTACTTGCATTTAATAGAGTTCACCTACAACAACAGCTTCCATTCGAGTATCGGCATGGCGCCGTATGAAGCTCTTTACGGCAGAAAATGCAGAACACCATTATGCTGGTTTGAAACAGGGGAGAATTTGATACTAGGACCCGATGTGGTTCAACAAACGACGGAAAAGATCAAAATGATAAGAGAAAACATGAAGACAGCTCAGAGTAGGCAGAAGAGCTATTATGATAAAAGGAGGAACCCTCTCAGTTTTGAAGAAGGAGATCATGTGTTCATGAGGGTGGTTCCAACGACTGGTATTGGCAGAGTGCTTAAAGCCCGTAAGCTTACCCCTAAATTCATAGGACCATACCAAATCCTTAGAAAAGTCGGACCAGTAGCTTACCAGATAGCCTTGCCACCTTTACTGTCAAACCTACATAATGTCTTCCATGTGTCTCAACTTAGAAAATACATTAGTGACCCGTCGCACATCATTGTACCCGATTCAATCCAGCTAAAGGATAATCTCACTTTTGAAACTATGCCCTTGAGAATTGAGGATCGCAGTGTAAAGACGTTGCGAGGCAAGGAGATTGCTTTGGTTAAAGTAATTTGGAGTCAAGCTAATGGAGAAGATGCGACATGGGAAGTCGAAGGCTCCATCAAAGAAGCTTACCCCTACCTTTTTGAATAAGAGGTACGATACATTTTCGAGGACGAAAATTTTTTTAAGGGGGAAGGATTGTAACACCACGAATTTTCTGATTTGGAATTATAAATTTTTATGAGTTTTTATTAATTATTTATTTTATCAACGATTAATTGTAGAAATTAATCAGTGTGGATTTAGGCTAAGCCATAGTTGAATATTAGTCTTGTTTTGTGATTTCCTATTTTATGGTAAATTTTTGTAATTTTCTGTGACGAAATAGTTTTGAATTGTCGTCGGGCCCAAATAGCCCGAATTCGGCCCAATAACGTGTTTTTGAGTTCCGTAACTCGGAATCGAATTCCGATTGCACCATTGGCTTCGAAATATTATTTCGAGTCAAGATAGACATCAAGTTCATTCAGAACCCATTTATAAATATTTTCACTCCAAATTTTGTGTTTCGAAGTTCTAACGGTAAACCAAAATCGGGAGATTGTATATTTTCGGACGAAATTATCCGAAGATGTTCGGACACGACATTTATTGGGAAATTACATCATATCAATAAAGTTGGAAGTCATCATTGCATGAGTCACTTACTTGTTACACAAGTAATGCAAAAGCTTACAAAACCCCCTAAAACACTCAACAAATCCTCTCACTCCACCACCATTAGACACATCACCTATGCTAGTCTAAAGCTACTTACTTTGCATTAAATTTTCTGATTTGATGAGGGTGAGGCTCTCCTATAAATACCTCACCCCATCCTCTCATTTTTACACTAAATTCCTTATACAAACTAAGGTAGTCTTTTATTTTATCTTCTTCATCTTCTTCTCATACTTCATAGAAAGTTATGAGCTTTTATTATTTTGTTCATAAAGTAGAGTTTATATTTGTTCTTTAAGTATTTTATGAAAGCATAACTAAAGGGGATGATAATAAAATCATATGAACCTTTATGTAGTTTTTGACTTTTGTAAATCTTGAAATTTCTTCCTTGTTCTTAGATGGAAAAACTATATCTTTGGACAAGGTTAGATGAGTTATTTATTTGGAAATATTAGAAATTATTGTTAGTATTTGAATATGTTTAAAGGTGATGATTTTAACATCAAATGAACCTTTAATGTGTTTAGGAAAAAGTTTGTATTTTATTCTTGAAAGTTTATGATGTTGATGAGTTGTTGAAAATATTTCATTTTTTAGATAGTATTATGTTTTAAAAGTGGTTTACATATTTTACTCTTTGATTCCCAAGTTAAAATAATGATTTGGGATAAAAGATGATTTATTAAAGTCTTGACTTCATAAACTTAAAGTGTTATGAAGTTTTAGATATTAAAGTAGTAGAAAGTCTTACATTATGATTTATTTTCATGACCATGAAAATAACACTTACTAACCCTTGAGGTTTTTCCTAAAATATTAGGAGGTGTTAAGATGTTCATAGAAATTGTTGTATTTATTTTAGTTGACTTACTTTAAAGTGGTAAGAATAACTAAAAGATGTTTAAATGTAAAATATTAAATTAAGAGCCATTCTTTTTCATGACTATGAAAATAACACTTACTAACCCTTGAGGTTTTTTCCTAAAAAATTAGGAGGTGTTAAGATGTTCATGAAAATTTGTTTTAGTAGTATACTTGAAATAATGAGAGTTACCTAAAAGTCTTGACTTTATAAACTTAAAGTGTTATGAAGTCTTAGATGGTAAAATGATTTAAAAATGTTGAATCTTAGTTAAGTGAACTTACTTTAAAATGGTAAGATTTACTTAAAAAAGTAAAAAGGTTAGTTTTAGTAAAAATGTTTTACTTACAAAAAATAAGATTTGTGAATTATCGGAAAAATACAATGAAGTGGGAATACATGTCTAGAAAAGTTCTGTCTAAGGAAAGACTTGGTATTTAAGGGTGTCTTTATGACCCACCTCTCTTTCCTGGGAACTAGCCTGATGTATACCCACATATTTCGACATAAATGAAGTGGGAATACATGTATAGAAAGGTTCTGTCTAAGGAAAGACTTGGTATTTAAGGGTGTCTTTATGACCCACCTCTCTTTCCTGGGAACTAGCCTGATGTATATCCACGGATTACGACATAAATGAAGTGGGAATACATGTCTAGAAAGGTTCTGTCTAAGGAAAGACTTGGTATTTAAGGGTGTCTTTATGACCCACCTCTCTTTCCTGGGAACTAGCCTGGTGTATATCCACGGATTACGACATAAATGAAGTGGGAATACATGTCTAGAAAGGTTCTGTCTAAGGAAAGATTTGGTATTTAAGGGTGTCTTTATGACCCACCTCTCTTTCCTGGGAACTAGCCTGGTGTATATCCACGGATTACGACATAATTTCGGTATAAGTTTTATTGAAAATTTTACTTTAAAAAGTATTATTTGATTGTAAGACTTTCGATGACAAATGATGATTCAAGGATATTCAACCTTGAATTGGATGGACGAAAGCAATTAAATTCATTTTAAATCGGAAGTTTTATCTTCGCGTAAAAAGTTATTTCATAAGTATAATAATTATTGTCATTTAACTAATTAACGTTATTTTGGCATAATAAAGATTTCGAGAGGAGAACGGATCAAGTAAGCTCACCTACAAACAGAGAACCTAACGACCCGACACACTCAGGTGAGGGAGAAAACATCGTGACACAGTGGTGTCCGAATATGCATCAGGACCTCCAAACTCCCTCACAAGTTTGGAGTTGCCCTGGGTATTAAGAAAGCTTGTACTTAATCAATTGCATGTTTGTTTGGATTAAGTACAGCAATATTTCTTATACCGATTTATGTTATGTTTATATATGCAAATATCATGTTTACTCTTGAATTATAATGTTTGAATGATTATTATGGGAATGATATGTATGTGATAATTTTGAAATTCAAGGTTTAAAAACATTTGATATAAATGAGAAATATTTTCCTTGAGAAAAGTAATTAAAATGATATTTAGGTTCTTCTCGCTTGACCGAGACAACTCTCGATTGAGCGAGAAGTGTATAGAGAAAACGAGTGTTTTAGCTCGAGGCGAGACAGCTCTCGCTTGAGCTAAAATAGGCACCAAGAGAACTGATTGTTTTCTCGCTTAAGCAAGACAACTCTTGCTTAAGCCACAAATGCCTCAAAAATGGAAGCATCTCGCTTGAGCAAGACAGCTCTCGCTTGAGCGAGCGGGCTCCATACAAACATGACTTCTTTTTAAGTCGTCGGAATGATAACTCTCATATATACGAGAGCCCAATGGCATGTTTGCCATCAAGAATTTGTAAAGGTAAACAACTAAATGAAATTCTTGAAAGTAATAAAAGTAAGGAATTGCTTTGTTAAAGGCGAGGCCGAGGGTGTGATATTATGCCCACGCAGCGAGATTATTTGACCGTAAGAGGCTTGGCTAGAGGAGCCGTCCAGGATAATTCAGCGATGGTTCGTAGTGGTGCCGAAATTATTCTCTCTTTTTGTTATATGTGTTAAGATCGGGACCCACTAGAAGCATTCCTTTGGGAGATGTCTTAGGTTGGGCCGATCATTTAAAAGAATGATTAAAAGATTTAATTGGCTAACCTCGGTTAGTGTGCATACTCATTATGAATAATGAAGTAGTGGAGAGGAAATTTACGGGAGACGAACGAGCCCCGAGATGTTGAGAGGGACGGCGATGGCGGTGATTCGTCAGCAAAGTCTTGAGGGTGAGTCTAGGTGAGACGAGTCCCTTGTATTCCTGGATGAGGTATTCTGTTGGATCGGACAGTTCTCACAGCGCAAACTAGATGATCTCTGACAACCCCTCTTTGCAATCAGGATCGATGAGAGGGATGCCCAGAAAGTGTTTGATACGACACCGTCCTGAAATGGACAGTTCTTTGGAACAGATCGATCATATATCCTTGCGAGGAATATTTTGGTGCGTTCAAATCGGCTTGTTATGGGACCTGTACTCTCGGTTATTTCCGAATAGTTATTGGGAGGATAAAGGAGTAAGGATGGTGGACTCATGCATCGCATTGCATACATGATATTCTTTGATATCGTTTCTAAATCCTCGAGTTTTATATTTCATTCATTGTTTTTATGTGCTTGTATAATCGCATGATATATATGTACTCATGTGTTGTCTTGGTGTATTATTCTGTGTAATTCCACGACGTCAATGATAAGTTTTTCATTAGATGTTTTACTCCCTCTCTTCTTTCTTTTTGTCTTCTATCCGCGTTTGTTCAGATGGATCGTTCGATCGGGATTCAGAGTTACCACTTTTCGATGTCCCAGGAGGGGGCATGGAGGATTGAGGGAATCTGTTATACCTACACAGGCCCTGGTACTTTTGATTAGTGTACCTGTGTAGGGAATTTATTTTGTAGTAGTTTTTATTGGGCGACGATTAGGATTCCGCCTTGTACCTGTACCAACATTTTCTAATGAAGTATGATTCAAAGTTATATTGAGTTTTTCTAGTTACCATTAAGTAATTTTCCGCATTGTATGTTACTTAAGTGATGTTCCGAAAATGAAACGAAGATAAGGACATAAATTTTTATGGCTCCTTTATTCAAAAAAAAAAAAAAAAAAAAAAATTACCCATTTTCGAGCAAGATTATTGAAGTAATTTTCGGGGCGTTACACTTCTCAGCAAAACCCAATTTATTAAAGTGTTTGAGTCAGATATTATAGTTAGTTGTTCTTTAAGTCATATCTCTTTCATGGATCCACACACAAAGCAAACTTTTGAACGTGAAAAAATATTGCATGGTTTGAAACTATTAGTCTTGAATATATCGAATTGGTCGTTGGAAGTAAATCTCACATCGTTTACATCATTTTCTTAAACATGATTTAAATACCCGTCAGACTAATTCTCTTATTATCAATTGATTTTGATATAGAATATTAATATGATATCATAGTCAAAACCTCAACCTTTCTTAGAATGGGCCAAAAAGTTGACTTTTATTCATGAGACAAAAGTAACTTTTAGCATGCTCCGAGAGACTTCAGTGAATGTGACATTTTGGAAAATAAGTCTCATTCTCTTGTACATGATTTAAATATTCATTAAACTCATATTCTTATTACCAATTAATTCTGAGATTAAACATTAACATTAACATTTACATTTGTTATATGTTAGTAATTAATTAAGATAATTCCAACTTATTCAAAAGTAATAATTTAAGTGTATTTGAGATCATAGTATTAGGGACTGCATAATAATTGATTGTAATATATATGTATTTTCAATATGATATATATATAGTCAATATACCTGTGCATTATTATAATGACATTTTTAAGGTGAGATGTGTGATTATTATGTTAATGATAATTACCTAAGATTATATTTTTTGTATAAATTAAAAAATGTGAATGGCAAAATATGGAATTGGAAATTTGTATACAATGGTAGTTACACTATATTTTGCATTTATATATAATAAGGTCAATGTTGTGAAACCTGAACCGAACTTCAAATCAGAAGAAGTCTTGTATTAGGTTTAATCGATTTAAATGGTTAAATTTTCTGAGTGATTTCATATATAATTAATAATCATCTATAAATATATAATTATGTATAATTGTACCGAACTAATATCCCATCTTTTTTTACTTGAGTAAAAAAACATTTCAGTAGTATTCCTATTTTCTAAAATTTTATGTGAATTGTCCAGTTCGACTTCTAGGTTATTCCGGTTTAATCGGATTTAACACGGTCAGACCCAAAATTCTCCGGTTCAAAATGGTTCAAACCATCATTCGATTAAGATTGTAAAACATAATCATTTCCAAGTATGTTCAGAGGTCGGACCATCCTCTACAGTCCCCACAACATTGGTATAGATATACACACGGTTGTCTGACATGGTGCTACTTTAATACAGTTTTTTGCTTAGCAAAAAAATTTACTTGATTACTGTCTTGATAAAAGAATACGACAAAAAGTAGGTGTTCTATCTCACTGCTAGAATTGGTCAACATCGGACGTCCATCAGGATGAGGTCAATTACTGGATGGACAAAATGGTCTATAGGATTGTCGACCATACACGAAAGGTTGGCCTAGCCAAGGGAAAGGACGACAACAAGGTAGTGTCATGTCAGCACCTCCTATGTTGAAAAACCTTTGTTCATGTCAAATGCAAGACCATACTGCTTGAGCATTACATGTTCACATTGTTCACACGATAGAAGTAGTCGAAATCTACGACACTACTAGTTTGGTAGGTTGGAAAAGGACAAGGCCACACCATCCGCAATGATGGTAAACCTTATCTTAGAGTGCAGACCACTCCACCATATAATATAAATAGTTGAAGTCGCTCATTAGGAGATGACATCTATTCTCACCCTTCTTTCTATCTCTAAGCATACATTTATAAATAGTAACTTGAGAATCAAAGTTTATTTTCAAACATTTATCCAAGATAATTCGAGGTCAACAATTGTCTGGATTCAATAAGGAAACCTTAACTCTAAAGTAAAAGAACATGAATCTTGTACCGAAGATGAAAGTTCTTGTTTCTCTCTTTGTTTTTATTGACAAAAGTGTTATGTCATAACTAATTGAGCCCAACCATGCCAATTTTGACTAACCAATATCATATGAAAAAAATGGCACAAATAGTATATCTTTAAATACCCAAAATTGTAGAATCAACATGGAATTAAAATTCATCCATGTAGCCCTCACAAGCAAACAAAGATGAGTTTCATGGCACAAATAAGTGTTGGAGGGAACCTTCCCTATACCAAGTGTCCCTAGTTGTTTATATATAAAAAGCCTTAGTAGACAGTAATAATGTAACATGTCTATAAATTCTTATGTTTGTGTCTCCGGCATTAGAAACACACCACACACACCTCTTCCTTCAAATTCTGAACAGCCACTTACAAAACATAACTTAACTGTTTCATCTAAAACAATAAGAAGTTAAAAAATAGTGAAACAAATCATTTTTTACTACTAAAAAAAAGGAGATGAGTAAGGAGTCGGTATACATTATTGATAGAGAGACAAATACTATAAAAAACAAATGATGAAATAATAATATGTTATGACTATTTATCTTTTTATATACAATGAAATAATACTTTAGTCATTGAAAACAAACAAAAATAAAAAATTTCCTCTCTCATACTAAAGATGATACAAATTCATGAGTCATAATTGAGAATTAATTATGTGTTAATATGGGCAATAGGATATATATATATATATATATATATATATATATATAATAGAAGAAGAAAAATAATAATAGAGAGATATATACTCTGTTTTCTTATTGACATACTTAGATATTTGAATTATTACATGCAGTTCTTGCAATATATGATCTAATTATTTATATACTTAGAAATTTGTGTATATGTTAATTATAATTAGTCCTTCAAAAAGTTAAAAGCGAAAAATATTTCCCAAAAACATCAAATATAAATCAAATTATTTTTCTAATGTCTTTATTTTAACTCACATTCATAGTATTTGAAATTTTGAATATTTTTTCTTATAGGTCAAAATGGTACCTACAGATACTTATAAGGTTCACATGCATGCAATGGTTTGATTATATTTTCCAATGAATGGATCCATTTAACCAAAATCACATGCAACTCTAGATAAAAACTATACTATAATAATAAATGTAGCCATGTTAGTTGATTTCATGTCAGCTTCAACTGCTGATAGGATAGAAATTAAATATCTTCAAAGATTTCTCTCCAATACTTGAGAGTCCGGTATTAAAAATGTGAGATGATAATTTATTAAAAATATTAATTTAAAAAATAAAAATTTGAACTATTTAAATTTTATTTTTACCATGTGTTAAAATTCTATGTATGTAGAGACTCCTTCTTATAGTGTCACTCCACTTTACATAGAGAGGAAGAATTTGTTTACACCAGTATAAATAAACTTGTTTTATATCATTAATAACTTTTTGATTGGTGCGGGACGAGATTGGGTACGGGGTTCGGGACAGTAGATCTTTGTTCCTCTCTGTTGAAAAGAGTTGGTTTCAAGATGCATTCAAGCACATTAAAGTAGCCATTAAAGAGGGAGCTTGGAGTGTGAATTTCAAAAAACTCTCCAAGTCCCACATTGGTTGGAGAAGGGAAGGTGGAAGACCTTATAAGGCTCAAGTCCCACCATTGGGGTGTGCCCCAAGGGGTACAATGGGTTTTGTGAGTGGGTGAGGACTCACACACACACACGCGCGCGCACCACCTCCTCCGCCGCCGTCCGGCCGGCCCGGGTCGGGTCGGGTCGGGCCCAACATTCTTTTTGTACAAAAATAAATTTTTATTTTATTTTTTTTAAAGCCAATGGGCCTTGACATTGGACCCGTGTGACTAAGTCAAGAGTGACTCACCACACGGTTGATCATATCATTCAATGCCGTAGATCATATCATTCAATGCCGTCGGATGGAGGGTCGGTTGGAGGCCTCACGCTATAAATAGAGGCCTCCCCTCCTCATTGAAAATTGCACCAAGAGCAAGTACGAATTTACTTGCTCTTTTCTTTCTCCCTCAAAATTTTCTGCCGACGCATTTCCGGCCTCCTTCTCTCCCTTTCTTTCCGTGGCACTAGAGTTGGAATAAGATATTCCAATATTGTGGGTATTTCTGAATTGGCACTGGTAGCCATATTTTTGGGTGTATTCGAGAGCGATTCTTACAGTGCAGTAAGATATCGTATAACAGAGAGCTGGGCTGTTTTATCCTGGGGACGGCGTGGTTGATAGTCTGCTTGCACCTTGAGGCAGTACCACGAAACGTTTTAAAGAGAGCGACCTGACCTGGTTGTGACTCAGCCAGTAAAGATTATCTCGTGTCATTGTTGCAGACTACTGATACAACACTCTCGCTCCTGTCCATTATAAGAGAGTAATGCATAACTAGGATTATAACATGTGGTAAAAATAAAATTTTAATTGATCCAAATTTTAACTTTTTAAAATTAATTTTTTTCAAAAACTATTTTTTCTCACATTCCAAGTAATGGACTCTCCGGTACTTGAGAGTAACTCCCTCTTGAGTTTTTGCTGATATTGTTAATTGGCATTTGTGTTTTCCTACTATAATTGTGTGTTTAATTATATCCTTCGACCTTTTTAAAGGAAAACATCCTAATAGATCATTAGCAATTATGAGAAATATCATCGATTTTTTTTTTTTTGCACATCTCTTTTAGACCAAATGAATTGGACTAAATGATAATGATTTATACACAGTCACTATATTATTTATCATCCATTTTAATTTTTTTTGAAGAGTCAATGATAATTAAAAATGAATTAGTTTTTTTAATAGTTAATGATGATTAAAAATAAATAATAAATGATCATACATACATTTTTTTTTGTCAAATATAATTTGTGATGTTATTGAAATCGGTTAAAGTGACTAATCAATGATTACTTGTGCATGCCAAATTGGTAATGATTATAAAAATAAAGAGTGTGAATAAATTTTGTGAGTCACCGTCTAAATAATTTTATTATATAAATGAAAAGCAGGTTACATAGCAAGGAAATAACAGCACCCATTCAATTAAGTTATGAGATTAATATGTATGTAATATTGTAATGTTTTTATGCTAATAATATATTATTCACCATTAATTTATATTATTTCTATGAGAATGCAATAATTTTTCATTTGTATACTAAATTAATAGTAAATAATATGTGGACGTGATTTAGTTGCATAGGAAATGAATAATAAATAAAATATTGATGGTATAAAAAACAATTGGACTATTAGTACATAAATATTT